CCCCCCTAGTATTTTCGAGACCCCCAGGGAGGGGCACCATTCTGGGGACCTTAGCGCGTGACTGCCTTGATGCCGACATCTCTCTCCTCTCACAGACTGCTTTTCCCTCACCCCACGCCCATGCAAGCCTCAGAGCTGGTAGCTTTTCACCTTTATTCTTTTTACCAAAGTCCAGACCATACAATAAATTCATGAGTGAAGAAATACACTTATTTTCAAAAGGTCAACCTTACAAGTTATGAAAGAAATACACATTAAAATGAGTTCCATTTCTCACCTCTCAAATTGGCAAAGATGAAAGTAATTATATATTCAATATTGGCAAAGGTGCAGTCAAAATGGGCACTCTGGCAAAGGCACGTAATCTTTATAGGTTACTTATAAATACATAATATATTTCCACTAGTGAGAGGATAAATAAGTATTTATATGTAACATATAAGATTATAATTTACTTGTTAAACCAGTAATTGAACTCCTAGAAAAATATGCTAAGGAAATCATTGAAGTTGCACAAATATATTTATGTATAAAAATATCCGTCACTGTGTTACTTTCAATACAAAAATGGGAAACAACCTGAATGTCCAACAATAGAAAACTGGTTAAATAAATTATGGTACTGCCAAATGAAACATTTTAAAACCATGGAAACTAAGCTAGCTGTAAGGTTGAGTGGAAAGAACTGAGATACAAAAATATACACCAGACTGATCATAAATATCATTTTGAATTGATACAAAACTGAGAGGCACTTTCCAAATGCCTCTGGTTAGCTTTAAATGGTGAGATTTCAGGTAATTTTTATTTTCCTCTTTATATCTTCCCTACTTTCCAAATTTCCTACAAAGACTATGACTTTTATGATTACAAAACACTTGTGCATATACATATATTTAATTATATATCTCTGTCTTTATATTTCTATGTATGTGTACATGCATGTGCTTAAATTCTAATCCTGCTGCCTCTCCATACTGAGATGTGATACTGCCACCCAGACAAGCCCAGCAGGTGCCAGGTGAGGGGAGCTCCCTGGCTCCACTCCAGTCTCCAAGTGCACACCGCCTGGGTCACAGGGACTCTATTCTTCCTCACGTGCTCTCCTCCCCCACAGCTTCCCATCCTGAGACTCGTCAACTCAGAAAGTCAGAGCTGGAAGAAACCTCAGTGATAGATCAGGGTTCCTGACCTTTCTTGCACTGTGGACCCCTAGGCTGTAGTCTAGTGAAATCTATGGAATCCCTTCTCAGAATAATCATTTTACATGCATAAAATAAAGCAGAGAATTTCGAGGGACACCATGCATTCCTTGAGTGGTAAGATTCTAGGCCATATCCCTCATGTTTCCTTTAAACTGAGGCTGGCATGAGAAGGGGACTCATCTGTGGTCAGCAGTCCTGGCCCCCTGGGCTCTACCTACCACTCTGTGGTCTCCTTCCTCCCTCTCAGTGACTTATGCAATTCTATTGCAGCTTTCCACTCTACCAGGCCTAGGAAAACACCCCTTGATCTTCACAGCAACTTAACAAGGTCAGCCTCACTGTCTCCACTTCCAGATGTGGAGACTGAGTACGAGAGGGCTCAGCACAGGTGGGCAGGATGACCTCACCTCTAAGACCCATGGGGCTCACATGAGCTGGTCTGAGTCAATCAGAGCTCAATTGGGAAAGGGACACTCTCCTCCCTCTTGGGCTGCTTAGTGAACCAGGCAGAGGTCTTCCAGAGTAAAGAGACTGCCTGAGGGTGAAGCCAACCCATAGGAAACTGAATGTGGGGGAGGTAAGAAACTGAGAATGGAGGCATTTGTGGGGGCCCTTGATCAAGCTGAGCCTGAAGCAGATTTCTGACTTTTCAATTACATGAGCCAACACATTACCTGTCCTTTTCTATTTTCTTTTTTAAAACCAATTTGATTTAATTACTTGCAACCAAGTGTCCAAATTAAGCCAAGTATGGATTATACCCATTTTAGAGATGAAAAAACTGAGACAGGCCAGGGGAATTAAATGACTAGTAAGTGGCAAGACATTATTTGAACCCACTCTTTCTGACTTCAAAGCCTTAACTGTGACTGCATACAAGTCCAGGAAAAGGCCAAATGCCTTTCTCCCTGAGGGAATCTGAGCCTTTGCTCTTATATATCCTCCAGCAGAGCTCAAGACAGAAAGTTCAGAGGCTCACAGCCATGTGACCACCTACCAAATCCACCCTCCTAGGAGGTGTGGTCCTTCTACACACACCTCTTCTGGCTGCACACGTGTGGGTTCCTTTTTTCTTAAACTTGTAGTTGATGTTCCTTCCACCTCCTCTTACCT